GGTTTGCTGTTATATAAATAAATCCACCATCCTCATGTCACGTGCTCAGATGCAGGTTATCAGGGTACTGATCAGGAAATCATGGCTCTACATACATTGCATAACTTCTGTGGAACAAATCAGGTTAATCTCAATCTGCTACTTTGAAAACAGCCTTTGGTTTTTCAGTTTTCATTCTCACTCAGCCTTTTGCTCACAAAATCTCAGCAACCTTTTCACTTCTGGTTTGTAAATCTGTGGCTTCAGAAGCTAGCAGATCAGAGATTCCTCACGCACAAAGCCAGCTCCAGAAAAGCTGGGATGCTTCTTAAAGTGTAAAAAAACAAAAAACAAACAAACAAAATGATATACAATTTGCAAATTTCATAAACTCATGAAAAATTCATTAAATGTTTAAACTAAGCAAATAAACTAATTTTAGAAAATAATGAGGTTATTTTGAATTTCGTGGTAGCATCTCAAAAAAGTCGTTTCTTTTTTCTAAAATCACCTTCAAGGGCAAACACAGTGATTAGTGACAGATTCTCCTCCCCCTGTAGATACACATCATCACAAACATTTTCTACATGTTTGGTTTGTTTGTGTTTTCAGTGCAGTTCTCAGGAATCAGAGCGTCACCTGATTGCCTAGAACAAAGTTTCCACGGAAAAGGATCAGAGCAGTCAGACCTGCCAGACAGAAACCAGGGATGAGCCGAAGAATTCAGAGCAGGAAATGTTCCTCCTGACAGCATGGGAGCAGAGGGGTCAGTTCAGGCGGCGCTGCCTGACAACCTACACGTGACCTCTGCAGTCACTGAGTGTTAACCTGCTTGTCCTCAGATAAATGTTTATTAGTGAGGGTTTGGTTATCACACTGTGGTCAGAGGTCACATTGCAGTAAGAGAGCCACGGAGGCGTGTCTGCTCCTCAGAAGCTTTAAAGCTTGTTCACCCCGTGGCGTTGGATTCTCTGAAATACATCAGAGCCGCTAGGTACAGGAAGTGTGTCGCTGCCTCCTCCACTTAAAAGGAACAAAGGGTTTGGACTCAGTCTGTGTTTAGACAGATTAAGCGTAGGTCAAGGGGTGGGTACTGCATAGGCAAACATACGATTCACAGCACAAGATTTTTTATGGTTTTATGGCCTTTGGCCTCCTCCACATCTCCCTCTGGACACAGGACTTTCTAACCACCCAATCACAGTCAATCAAGATCCCCACAGGGATCTGTACTGAGTGTCATTTCATCACTGCCCAATTGAGAGTGTCCTGACCTACAGGGGCAGCTCTGCAGAGACAATACCAAACACATACTGACCTAAGCGATATCTGTACCTCAGACAATGCAGGACATTAAAAATACAAATCACCACGCTTTACCACG